TCGTAAAGGGAGAGTCTGCGTGCGCTTTGATGGTTGTGTACAAATGATAAATGCTAAAGCTTAAAAGCTTTGAGTGATTGAGTTTGATTTATATGTGAAATGATGAATAAATGTCTTCTCTTAATGTTATTCTCTTAAATTTATTAATTACTCTTACCTTTACACGTTCTTTCTAACCTTCTAGTCCCTTCTCATAATTTTTGTCTCTATTTATTTCGTCTTGGATCTTCTTTGCGTTGTGCAAGACATTAATAAAGGAATCAGTTGAAGGTCATACGGGTTAAAATATACATTCATATAAATATCTTGCAGAATCCCAGGCGCTTTTTCTCGATTATCGATGAGGAGATATTGGCAAGCCATTCCATTTGATCTCAGCTCGAAGGTGTATTCTATAGACAGACTGGATGTTGAAGGTGTCTGTAACAAAAACAAATACACGCTTATTTTGTAAACATAACGTGAACGGAAAACATATGTTAATACTTTTAAATAAACAACTTCTTCTTTGTATTTCTGAGAATCCATCATTATATTTAATACGTGAAGCGAAAACTTTGTACACCTTTTTAAGGAAATTGCGCTTACAGATGAATGTGAAATTTGACACAACTCAAGTTGATGTTGGCTAGAGATAATGACTAATGAGATTTAAAAAAAAACATTTGGTTATGTTCGAATTTGGACTATTCGACGACCAGCATTATTTAATTCTATATACGGGTCTTGAAATAGTCCAATTTTGAAGCTACAGGAAAATTCCATTCTAAAAGATCTTTTATGTGTTCAGATAGATTTAAATTAAAGGTCAAATATATGTTTTTAAAGTTATTATGTGCGATGTCTTGTATCTCTCTAGGTCACCGTTAATCGTTAAATGTTAAATGTATTTTTTATTTATTCCTGCTGTCTCAACGCACATAAAACGTAATTATAAAATCAAGAATGTTCCGGTCATTTTTAATATTTACAGCTATGTAAAAATGTTTATAATAATGTTGTTCTTTTCAAACCTCGAGAGTAAATGTAAATCATAAACGGCTATACGAAAAACGGTCTGAAAGCGAGCGTGAGGTAAATGACGAAGCGAAAGCGCGCCGCAAGCGCAGGGCGGACAGCGGGCGGCGGACGCAGGGCGAGCGGCGGGTGTGGGGCGCAGGGCGGGCGGAGATTATAGCACCGCACGCTTCGCTTGTTTACGTTGTGCCTGACCACGTTTTCGACTAAAAATACGTCTGCATCCTGCCGTTTGGGCCTCTCGCGATTGGCCGGCGCTTGCGCAGGAAGATGAGGACTCGCGTACTCCCTCCGACCCGATCCCTCGCCCCGCGCCCACGGGCCGTTATTTTATATGAAAGTAACCGAAAGGCCGTTCTCGTAAAGAAGCAGAAAATAACCCTGAACGTAAGCAGCAGCAGTCCGCAGGCCAGTCGTGTTGTGCGTCTCACAGTGTTAACTAGTGACATTAAACATGGTTCTGGACACAGAAGATTGGGTAGGTGTCCCTTAATTTTTGTTTTGCATAGAACCTCCGAAAATATATTTTAATTAAAAATATTTTAAATATGCGTTTGTTGCGTTTATTAAAACATAATACAAACATAAAAATAAAAGAAAACATGGATTTATGATGATTAAATTTTACAATATAAACTTTACTGAAATTAGGTAGATTTATTTCAATTGTTAGAAATTTTAGTAAAATTAAAAGTTTTTTTTGTAATCTTTAAACAAATCTAAATAACACCAAAATTGTCAACTGATTTTATTTAAATAATACACTTTTGATGCAACAATGAAAAACAATCAAGTAATAATTGTCTTCTATTTTTTTTAATAATCTATACTCATTGCAAATTATACTCATACTGTTGAAAATATTTTTCTTTTATTGTAATATGTGTTGATATACAATATACACATTAGTGCTATGTTAGGTATTAAAAAAGTCAGTAAATCATAAAATTAACATTAAGAAAACAACTACTAATTTTATTTTGAAAATTCTGAAAAACCCGAAAATTTTGATCATTACAAGTAAGAAGAAATGAAAGTTTTTGCTAACATTTATTATAATACAGGCAAAAAACGGAATAATGTTGAACTTATGTATTTAAATGAATTAAAAGGAAAAAAAAAACTGAAGTTCAATAAAACAAATTGCACACACAGCCTAATCCAGTTTTAGTTTCAGTAGTGGTTTTATAATTTTTTTAAGTTTAGGATTTTTAAAGCTTTATAGCTCTGACCTGGTTTAAATTGAATTAAAACAAGATTTTGTTAATACTCTAAATAGTCTAATCCAAGATCTCGCAATACCAAGGCATCTATTTTTGTTTGAATTGGACGTAAAATAACTTTATTACGTCTCGAAACATGCCTGCTTCCCAAAAACTTGTGCTATGACCTACATAGATCAATTTACATTTACAAGAATATGTGGCAACAGTTTTTATTTGTGTTTACCGACTATAATGTGTTTCTTTATGTTTTAGGCCGATGAGCTGCCCCCAGAACAAATTGCCGGTAAGTAAAAAGACATATTTCCCCACATTTTGTCATCGGAAAAGGTTTTGTTTAAGATAAAAGCTTTAGAAAAGTTTTATGAATTTTTCGAAATTTTTTTTTAACATCTGTAAGAAAATATGCGCATATTGTATGTCGTGAACAACTTGTAAATAGGTTTTTTGAAAACATCTAATCAATATAAAACGTCTTTAGGTAACAATACTCTTTATGATATTAGTATTGATAAAGATGAAAACATTTTTATCCTATCCTGAACTGGAATACTAAACAGTTTGTAACAAAGCCGGATGCAAACTTACAAACTACCAACTTATTATTAATTTTCGGCAGAATTTTTTATTGTTATCAAGATATCGCAGGAAATTCGCAAGCTCATATTTGGCCTCATTCCAAGAACTCAATGAGGCTTGACTTCATAAATTACACAGACAGGGGCCTCTTATAATAAATTCGTTCTACCAAAACTTGTGTGGGTTTAATTATTCTAACAGGAATAGAACAAAAATTCACAATACGGGGTGTGGCATTTTATATTTATGTATTTTGTGACTTATTACATTTATTTGGGGACTCTCTGCCTTACGTACTCATAAAAACATAAGATATTTTATTTTAATGAATAATTTGAAAACTTAAGCATTTTCCAGTAGTTACGTAAAGTGGAACGTGACAATTCTACCAAGTATTTATAAATGCCTCATTTAATCAACACCACACTGTTAAAAAATCATTACCTTCGTCTATCAAAGTCAATTAAAGAAGCCATTATATTAACAAACTGTTATGAATAATGTAAACGTAAACGTTGACTGCAATTTAACTTAACTCTAATTTAAAATTTGACTAGAACCAGATACATTAACCAGTTAAATTATGAAATATGAACTATCCGGTTACAATAACAGTTCGGAAAACTAAAATAACAGTTATGAAAACGTATACAACTTTCAACGAAATCGATATTAGCGGATAAAAGGATGGTTTAACTCAAAATTATTAGGTAATAATAGTTTTATTTACATTAATACCTTGGCATTAAAATGGTACATTAACGTTCAAAGATTAAAGATTGTTTGTTATTAGCGAAACATAACAGCGGGCAGGTTGTTTGGGCGAACGGCGGCGGCGTGGTAACACGCTTGGAGTGAAGCCAACGGGCCGCAGTGTCAGCTCACGGGACACGTCATTGTTTAGTTCAATACCACGAGGAAAATTCTCCAGTTATTCCGATTTTACGTTAAACAATCCAGTACTTGATTGACAACTGGCTTTTAGGTTATCATAGATAGCAATCCACATTCCGCTGTGACTCTTCAAGGGTAGGAAAGTAAACAATTTGACTTTACTGCAACTGTTTCTAGTACGTTTTGATTAAGCTACCTAGAATAGCGTTACACAAATCTTTCTCATGTGCTTTTGTCATTGTACATCCATCCAACTTCTTACCTTGAATTTTATTATTGTTGCAAAAAGAGCTTGACGCTTATTTCAACAAAATAATAATTGCAATGTGCAATGTATTAATAATAATATAAGTAGAACTATTAACGTATAGCTGTTGTAGATACGTGTCCCCGATGAACTTTTAGTTTTCTTCCGTTCCAACTAGAAAGGATATACATATTTATAGACATATTTTTAAACTATCTTTCAAGTAATAATACGTTTTTTATCGTTTTCTTCTGAAAACAGTGATTCTTTTACATTTCTTACGCTTTTAATACATTAGTTAATAATTAATTTTAGTGTCATTCATCGTAATTATTCATCACGTAACGTCTGATTTAGAATAGACGCTAAATAATTGGAACAAGTGTTTAATCAATATTTTAATATAATTATCGGATATGATGATTAACATGTGTGACGCGAGTATACTATTTCGAGTTAGCCAAGTATTTGATATAAATCAAATGGAAATGTAAACATTAAGGATAAATGCGGCGCCAAATGCACTGCATATTGCAGTTAAATGTAACATTCGTAGTGTAAATTGATTAATGTTGATATTAATTTTAATTAGCACGAACTTAATCACCTTGTCGCAGTATAATTTTATAAATTACTAGCTGTTGCCCGCGACTTCGTACGCGCAATATATAAATAAAGAAATATAGCCTATAATATGCCCGTCTATGTTAGCTACCCTTCAGTGAAGGTCCGGTCGAAATCGACCAAGCCGTATCGGAGATTACTCGGAATAAACGCGGCTTGCGGACGTTATCATCGACGCAAATACATCACCTTTCCGAAATCTGGAATTTTTCTTTTGTTATTACAAACAGACGCTTCAATTTTATTATACGTATAGATAGATAATACATTTGATTAAGCACTTAATGTAACCTTTACAAGTCACTTCGGAAACCCCGCAGTTTCTTAATTTAGTTATACTAAATTATTTTTATATTTTTAACTTCAATGAATGTAACTTTCAGCCTTCTTTATTTTTATTATTATATTCTAAAATGATTAAGCATAATAAAACATCATTAATAAAACGAAGGATTTTTTTTAATACCGAGTAATTTACTCAGTTTATTTTCATATTCCATATTCTATTGCCAGGAGTGTTAAATATATTTCAATAAAAAGCATGTAATGACGTTGATCTTGTCCTCGTTTCGAGTACCGCGTCCCGATTGAAGGTAGATAATTAATAAACAGCTAAAATCTGGAAAGAAAGTAATAAAACCCATGAATCTTTGACGCGTCTGCCAAGATGTTGACGATTAAAATTAACAACTCCACCCAGGCGAAAATAAAAGACGAATTTTATAAAAGTGTTCCCCTTGCCAAATTACTGTTGGACAGCTGCGAGCGTACAAACTCCAGCCTACGTTCTTTTATATCAGATGAAAATATTTTTATACTTCATACAAAACGTTGAATTTAATTGGCCGATAAATTTTTATCTTCAGTTACGGTAACAGGTGTACGTTTTATGAAGGAAAATCATAATTTCAAGCTTTTATTAGCTTCACCCATACTCATTCTCTGTCTTCAAGTAATATTCTTTTGACACAATATTTAAACACTTCAGAATAACCAATTTGTAAAGTTCACAGATAAAACATATCAGGAGTTTACTTACACCAATTTATTATTCTTATTAAGCTCAGTATATAACTGTTTTTTTTTTGTTACAATTGTGAGTAGCAGTATACAACAATATGAATCGAAAATAAAAGAAATCTTTCAAGTAGGAAAAGAATGCATAATTTATTTTTGATCATAGTTACAGATGACAAAGATTATAGTAACAGATTTGATAATTGCGCTTTTCTCCTACTATTAAAGTATTCTTTTTGTCTATAGGATGTTTCGAAATTAAGATACATTGTGCTGAATACCAACGCGTATTTAAATAAAATCTCCAGAGAGACAGATTTTTGTGATGAAAGAACATTTCAACATTGTATCGTCTACGCGCGTCACGGGAAAGCGTCGAAAGAGTTTATTTTCGTTAGCAACATTTGATATCATTTTATTTTTAAACAAAGTGACGCACGCGCCCAAATCTCACAGTCGGGGTAATCCAGATCAAACTTTATAACTGTCCACGATCGTCAGCGTTCATAATAAATTATCTTAAGGCCATCGTTTATTAAGATCGTAAATCACATGATATACTAGAAAGTTGCTTAGAAAACCCAAGGGAAAAAGCGTAATATTCTGAGTTAATGTTTCAGTGGTACAAGGCACTAGGCCTTGAACCCGACGTTGCCTAAAGCATTTGTAATGATATCATCAATAGAAACACCATGTTTTTATAAATCAAATACTTTTAAAGCACCTTTATTTAGTGTCCAAAATCCTTGTAAGTAATTGATGTCTCATAAGATTACTTACTCTTTGTTAAAAATCATAACAACAACAGAAGCCAAAGATTTTGAGGCGATGAACTCGACAATATTAGCGCTGTAGGTAACAGCCGTATAATTAATTGTAAATATTAAAAAAAAAGAATGAGGATACAAGTAAGCAGTAAGAGTCTATTCGACCAGTAACATCAATATCCATAAGTCGTAGGCGCCCAATTATGGAACGAATAATTATAGGAAGGATAAGAAAAGCCCACTAATCAGAAAGAAATCTATGTAGAATTTTGAACTGGCCAAGTCTGTTTATTTTTATGTTACTGTTGAGCATACCAGAGTCTTGTAATACTTGAAAATGTATGTTTTCTTTTAGTAGCTCACATAACATTTCGGATCGTCTGACACACTAATATTGACATTTAACATCCAATTGCGATTAAGAGATTTATGTGTCAGTAATTTACAGTTTTCGTTGATTATTTATCGGCGTCCTATTTACTCGCACACGCAGCGCCGGTGCACCGCGCTCGCCGCGCCTGTTGCACGGAAATAGCTGCGTTGCACAACTTATTCGCACTGCATTTCGGAGCATTGAACCTCTGTTCTAATCCCATCTGCACCCGTCGAGCGGCCAGTGCGACCGTTTTTATTGCTAGCGCTGCACCGCTATTGTCCTTAAAAAATTTGAAATCAGAAATTAATAAGTTTTGTTAACCGCATTTATTCAGTTTAATTCCGTCCATCATGAGCACGCTAAACATCGAGGGTACGACATTCAACGGTCTTGACTTTCCAGTACACTCTGTTGTTATTGCGTAACCTCGAGGTGATATTAACTTTGTGCCGTTTGTTCCAGTCCTCCGCAAGGCCTTCGACGGCTTCGACCACAACCGCTCGGGCAGCATCCCATGTGACTTCGTCGCGGACATTCTCCGGATGATGGGACAGCCCTTCAACAAAAAAATCCTTGAAGAACTCATTGAGGAAGTCGATGCTGACAGTGAGTATTCACGTTAATATGGACGTGAAGGTGTGCCATTCCTCGCAAACTAAATTGTTACCAAAGTGTTTTTCTTTTTCTATCAGAATCTGGCCGTCTCGAGTTTCCTGAGTTCGTGACTCTGGCTGCTAAGTTCATCGTTGAAGAGGATGCTGAAGCCATGCAAAAAGAGCTCCGCGAAGCATTTAGGTTATACGACAAGGAAGGTAAGACAATTTCGTTTTATTACAAATTACTTTTGTGAAATCCCAGGGTAAATGTTTATCGTATACTGTAATAGAACATAATATAGAATAAGTTTTGGTGTCACTTCTTAATTTGTCATGATGTGTTAACCTCTATACCTTCATCTGTTTACCCAAAATGTCTCATTACTTTTGGCAAAAATGTTATCGAAGGATCAGTAACTCGTTTATTTTGATTAGTCTTTGGTTTAACGTTTCGGTATGAATACGACTCATGAATGTCATATTTGCAGGCAACGGTTACATTCCCACGTCGAGCCTGCGCGAGATCCTGCGCGAGCTGGATGAGCAGCTGACGGACGACGAGCTTGACGGCCTCATCCAGGAGATCGACACTGACGGCAGCGGCACCGTTGACTTCGATGGTAAATACTTTTAACGAATTAAGCCATCGATAGCTTATTTCATCATCATCAGCCTTTATTTGCCCGACGTTGGACTTATGGCCAATGTCTTTCCAAATAAATACCAAATAATGCGGTCTTCCACCTTTCGCATCGAACAAATTCCCGCCCGAGTCTCTCGAGATTACAATTTAATGAATACAGATTGTTAGGCGTCTCTGTTCCAACAATAGTAAAGTAAGGTCCGTCAATATAGTCAGACAACCCGTTAATGTATCAATTTTCTGACGAAATTTTAGTCACCCGTACAGGAATTTTAGACATGCCATTGGATAGACAGATTGTAGATAATGTCAAAGTAACACAGCACTTATGCTCATTTTGTCTTGTCACAAATCTCATTATATTTTACGCTTTTTCCAGAGTTTATGGAGATGATGACCGGAGAATAAACATCAAACATCAACGTTACTCTTTATTTATACTTACGGTTTAACTTAAGGATACCTTCTTACATTTCAATACTTCAACTTTTCGAGGCTTGAGGAACATTGGACACCAAAACACATAACTACATTTACAGCAACATATTGTATTTAATATAAAAGTATTATGTATGTATTGTACAAAATAATATTTGCTCTCGTCTAATTGATGTGTGTGGCTGAGTAATGTTTATATCTACTTATTAATAAAACTTTTAATATACTATCGTAGTTTTTTATTTCAAAAATTGACTATTTTAATTGACGAGGCTGTCACTCATTCAGCTGGGCCAGATCAGTGGGTAGAATAAAAGGATGGATGTGGATAAAGAGACCGATGGGTGATGACTACAAAATTTTAAAACTTTATTAGGGGAAAATAAAATGTTAAAACTCACAGTCCCGAGAGGACGCTTACCTTCTAAGCTCTGGACAAATAAAATAAAGTGGGCTATGCTAAAAGCTACAGTAGAAAACAAAAACACAATAATTTATACCATACAAGAGCCTGTGGTGGGGTATGGTATATTCTAATCATATAAAGTGTGAACTTCAGCTAAACTAGACAGGTTCATCTACATGATAGCATATCGCAACAACTTGTTTCGATTTCGTGTCACCCCTAGTGTTAAAATATGTAAAAAAATATTCTATAATTTATTTAAATTTTGTTAATGTCTTAATGTCATGTAATATTACATTTAAGAAGTAAAGTAATGAGTATTCCACTTTAAAGTCGTCTGCAAATATTTCTCGATAATTTCGATGACATTTTTCTTTCGATTGGATACCAGCCAGATACAAGTTATAGGCTATTTAAAATATAACTCTTTCAGTAGACCATTTTATTGTCGGTTTTTTGTTTCATATACACTTTTAGCATCTTATGACATGGAACAGATATAAAAATATTTTCAATGCAACGCAACTAAAAATTTTCAAAGTATACCAAACAGAAGCTAGCGTTTTTCTTTTGATGAGAAATGTTTGTATATCATACCATACATAATGAAACTATGCAGTGTACTTTTGTATGTGAACGTAGGTTTGCCACATTGATACATATTGCCATCCCTCTCAATTATTATGTAAAAGAACCAGATAGCAAGATAATTTTGTACGGATCTTTCGGCGTTGAAAATGCAGACACTGGACATTTACAAATCCGAGTGATAACTTTGTGATTTTCTTAAATAAATGAAACAAGCATATACAATTCGTATTTTGTTTATTTAAATATATGAAATATTTCGAATAACTTAACGAGTCTACTTAAAACGTAGACTTGCCTTAAAGTTTAAAGTAAGTAGAAGTAATATTGAAAAGATATAAATTATTATAGATGAATAGGAATGAATCGTTGTTTTACAAAAGTTTACATAGAACAGAAATAATAACATAATTATATAATACAAATTAAATAAATCAGAGATGAATTTATTGAAAAATTACAGTCAATTATCATAAAACTTCGCTCAATTATTTTATAAAAAAAAAATTATTTAGGTACACAGTAACATGTACGGTTTGATTTTCACTAAATTTTTTTCAAGATTTATTTTACTTGCATTTTGTCAATCTCGAAGAAAAATCTCTTTGTCATTTTAAGGAATGGAAATACTTTCAAGAAAAAACATGTATCAAAAATATAATTCCATAAAAAGATCCCAAAATTATAGTTACAAAAAATAAATACATATTTAATTAAAAGCATTGCTTCTTTCGATAAGTTTTCGTAAAACGAATTTAAGAAGGCTTTTCGCAATTAGGAGAAAATGCAAAATAAATATTATTCATCACAATTTGTGTAATAAATTAATGGCACATATTGTATTCACATGTTTTGAAAATAGAGTAAGCTTAC